AGGACCAGGACCAGGATGGGGACCAGAACCAGAATGAGGACCAGGACAGGGATGGGGACCAGAACTTGGACGGGGATCATTTTGAGGACCAGGACTGGAATCAGAACCCGCATCAGGATGGGGACTGGAACCAGCATCAGGACCTGCCACACAGAAGATGATGAATGAGGAGGGACACCCCACGCTGGACAACAGATCCTTGGTGTCACACACATCCCCAGCACCGTGTCCCCATCCGTCACCCTGTGGCCGCTGACAGAAGCTGAAAACCCCAGCGCTGAATGCCACCAACCCCAAGGTCAGCGCCATGGCCGCCACTGCCACCTGCGCCATCATTCCCGGAGACAAATTGGGACCTGTGGGAACAGCAGAATGAGCCATGGGGGACTGTGGGGGCCGGGTGCCACATCCCCGTCCCCAAACTCACTCCAGTCCACCTGCAGCGGCTGCTCCAGGCTGGAGTGCCACACTGAGCACGTGTAGGTGCTCCCCGCCGCAGTGCTGGCCCTCAGCGTTGTCTGTGTCCTGTAGGTCCAGTCGCCGTTGGGCAGCAGTTTGGTGTCATCCGAGGCCAACACGAGGCCGTTTTGCAGCCACTGGATGGTCACTGCGGGTGGGAAGAAGCCCCAGACGTGGCAGATGAGGCGGACGGTGTCGGGGTCATTGGAGATGCGGATGGGGACGATGCGGACCTGGGGTGGTGCTGCAGCAAAGGGGGGACGGTCAGAGCTGGGGATCGTCCCCTCTGTCACCCTGCAGGGTGGCTGGTGGGACAGTCCATGCGATGTCCCCGTGCATCGTGCAGGTGCATCACCCTATGCCACATCCCCATGCAACATCCCGGTGCAATTTCCCACCCAATTTGTTTGCAATGTCCCCACGCAACGCCCCTTTGCGTTCCCTTTGGGTGTCCCCATGCAACGCCCCCTAGAACGTCCCATGCCATGTCCCCTTGTGACGCCCCTTTGCATTTCCCTGTGCAAAGTCCCTCTCAATTCCGCATGCAACGACCCCATGCTGCATTCTGTGCTTTCCCCATGCAAATTTCTCGCGTGCATCCCCTGCAATGCTCGGTGCAAAGTCCCCATGCAACGTCCCTTTGCAATCTCCCACTCCATTGCTTTGGAATGTCCCCAAGCAAAGTCCCATTCAACCCCCTGCATGATGTCCCCATGCAATTCCCTTTGCAACATCCCCGTGCAGCGCCCCCTGCAATGCCCAGCTGTGCATCACCCCGTTGCAACACCCCCATGCAACAACTCCTTGCAATGCCCCCCGTTTGCAACGCTCCACTTGCATGCAGCAGTGCTCACTCCTCCGCAGTGCAGTCTGTGCCCAGAACTGTGCAGACAGCTCAGTGCACGCCTGTCTGCGCGCCTCTGCACGCTGCACCCACGTGGCATTATAATTTAGCATGAAGGCGACAAAAGTGGCAACGTCGTGTAGCAGCCCCCAGTCACAGGGGTAGAAGATGTGGGCGTCGGGGTCGTAGCACACCAGGGGGTTTTTGTTGAAGGCCACGGTGAGGTCGAAGCCCCCCAGGGAGCCGTTGGCTGTCAGCGGGCAGGAGCTGGCCACGTGCACCACGAAGGCGCCTGCGTTGGGGGCACGGGGTGGGCACAGCGCTGGGGCTGCACCCCAAAGCCCCGGCTGCACCCTAAAACCCCATGCTGCGCCCCAAAAACCTCACGTCGTACCCTGAAAGCTCATAATGCACCCCAGAAATCCCACGTTGTACCCTAAAAACTCACACGGAGCCCCAAGAACCCCACACTGTGCACTATGAATACATGCAGCAGCCCATGCTGCACTCCAAAGCCCCACACTGTACCCTAAAACCCCATGTTGCACCCTAAAAACTCACACTGCTCCCCCAAACCCACGTTGCACCCCAAAAACCCCATTTTGCACCCAAAAAACTCATGCTGCACCCCCAAACCCCCCATGCTTCACCCCCAAACCCACACGTCGCACCCTGGAAAGCCCAGGCTGCACCCTAAAACCCCCCATGCTTCACCCCAAAAACCCCACGCTGCCCCACGTCCTACCTGCTGCCCCGCAGCTCAGCGCCAGCCCCATCGCCCCCAGCACCCCGAAACCCGTCGGCCCCATGGCGAGCATTGCAGCCTTCATCCCCCCCGTCCCTCCTCCTCCTTCTCTTCCTCCCCACGTCACCCTATGGGCGGTGCAGTGGGATCAGACTTTGCTACCTGGGGACAACGCCCAACCCCGTTAATTACCACCCTTCCCGGTGCGGAGACAAACGAAGACACGGCGCTGAAACGAAGGGCTTTAATTACATCACTGCCACCGTTCCCAAGCCGAGGGAGCAACTTGTGGAGGATATCAATGAGTATGGGGTCGATGTCCCCACTGTCCCCGCTGTCCCCACATGCTGCGCCGGCGGGCAGAAAGCAGCAGCCCCAAACCCATCAGTGCCAGCAGGACGCCCAGCGCCGTCACCGCACCGCACACCGCCATGGCCAACGTGTCCGAAGGAATGGGGTCCTGCGGCACTGCGGGGACACAAAGCGTTGCTCCCACTGCCCACACCCCAATCGGCCACCACTGCGGGGACACAAAGCATCGGCCCACGTCCCCACTCACCCCAATAAGCCACCACAGAGATGTTGTCCCTCTCGCGGGTGACAATGCAGGAGTAGATGTCACCAGAGTGAGGCGTCACCGCCAGGTAGGAGAAGCGCATGAAGCTCAGGTCCTCCATGGGGATGTAGGTGAGCTGGGTGACGCCGTCGGTGACGGGGACGCCGTCCCGCTGCCAGCTGATGGTGATGGCAGGGGGGAAGATGTTGCCCACCATACAGACCAGGGTGTTGGGATAGCCCAGCTGCAGCGGCTGCTGCAGGAAGATGTCAGCCACCGGGATGCCTGCAGGGGGACACATCCATGGGGGATGCATCAGTGGAGACAGCATCATACTGGGGAAACATCATTGGGGATGCACCACTGGGGATAGCATCAGCTGGGGGTACATCAGGGAAGTTGTACTGCTGGGGACACGTCACTGGGGACAGCATGGACTGGGGACACATCAGTGAGGACACATTGTTGGGGACAGCATCGATTGGGACGTCCATTGGAGGCAGCATCAATGGGGACAGCATGACAGGGGCTAACATCAGTGGGGATGTCCACTGGGGATGCATCAGTGGGGATGCTATCAGTGGGGATGTCCATGCGGAATAAATCAATGGGGACAGGATCAACCGGGGATGTCCACTGGGGATGCATCAACTGGGACAGGATCAGTGGCGACAGCATCAATTGGGGGTGTCCACTGGGAACACATCAGCAGGAATGAATGAATCAAGGCAACTTCAACAAGGACTTCACCAGTTGGGGATGTCAACTGGGGACAGCATCACTGGGAACAGGATCAACTGGGGATGTCCACTGGGAACACATCAATGGGGACGGCGTCAGTAGGGACAGCCACGGGGGACGCATCAATGGGGCTGCATCAACTGGGGATGTCTACTGGGGTCAGCATCATAGGGAACCCATGGCTGGGGACCCGTCGGCAGGGCCATAGCGGGGACAGCAGCACCCACCCTTGGCTTCAGGCATTGGCAGCTCAGTGGCGATCTTGGTGAGCACGTTGTGCAGCTTGCGGCACAGCGTGGTGTCGCGCTCCAGCTCCTGGGGCTGCTCAGTGCCTGCGGGCCACGCGGGGCCATCGGGGAGCTGCGGCAGCCACTGCAAGCTGGGGACATCGAATGAGAAGAGCTGCTCCGAGTCGAAGGCCACCGACAGCCCCAGCGACGGCGTGTCCGGCTGGCAGAAGAGCACCTCGGACAGGGTGTGCAGCGATGGCTCTGTGGGCACAGACAGCGTGTGGGACACGGGGACAGCAGGCACACACGCACGCTGCGCACAGACACGTCTGCTGCAGGCACGCTCACTGCATGTGTACACACTGCATGCTGAGTGCAGCTCAACTCTTGCACGCTTACACTTCCTCTTGCACCGACGCACCAACAATGCCTCGCACAACCTCTGCACTGATTAGTGTGTTCATCCTCCTGCTCACATACTCTGCACTAATGCACAAAGCACTCTATTCACAGCCCCTTGCACCGGTGCACGGCCACTCCTTGCATTAATGCACAGAGCCTCTTGCACAAATGCACGCCTGTTTGCACTCCTCCCTTGCACTAAAGCACAACACATTCCTTGCACAGTCTCTTGAACCAGTAGTGCATGGCACTCCTTTCACTCCATTTCTCACACTCAACCCCTAATGCACTAACCACACCATGCACAGCCCCCTGATTGCGCGCAAGCACCCTCCTGCTCATGCTCCCCTTGCATCAATGCGCAAACACCCCTTGCACAACTCCTTGCACCAGTGCATGCCCACCCTGTACCCCAGAGCACGATCCACTCCTTGCACAGCCCCTTGCACTCCCCCATACACGCATCTTGGACACCCCTGGCACTACCCCATGCCCACCCCATGCCCCCACTTCTCCCTACCGGCTCTGACGCTCCCAAGGGCCGCCCCCAGCAGCGCTGCCACGAGCGCCCCGCGCCCGCTCGCAGCCCCCATCCCTCAGCTACCGGCAATCACTTCAGCCAATGGCCGTGCCTCGCGGCTCTACGCGTCAGTGGTTGCCAGGCAGAACAAGCCCGCAGGACACCCGTCCGCGTCATCGGTTGCTAGGCAGAACAGATCCGCAGGGAACACCGGCGCTGTGACAGGCGGCGATCGTGCGGCTCAACCAATGGCTGCGCTCCGCAATTACCTTGCGTCACTTGTTGCTAGGTAGAAGAAACTAGCGGGGAGTCCCGACGCTGTAATAGGCGCTAAACCACCCGCGGGCAATTAGTAAGCATCGCTAATTAATGAAGGAGGGGACAAGTGGGCTGCGTAGATCGCCGGGTGCCTCATCACAGCGCGGATGTTGCTTTTGCGATGGATTTTGAGAGAAAAGCCTGAGGTTTGATGGTAAAAACGTGTTTTGTGTGTAAAACTACATATTTGGGGGATAAAAGAGTGGGATATGGGGGGTAAAAGTTGGGGTTTGGAGCCGAGGGGGCATCTTCGGGGCGTGCACTACACTCCCTGCAACAGTGGCTGCTCGCACTGCAATGCACCGCACTGCAATGCGCACTCCGAGCTGGAAGCGCTGCACCGCAGTCAGGTCTGCACAGCCCTGCGGGCGAGATCGGCCCTCTGCAATGCCGGCAGCTGCACCCCTGCAATGCCGTACGCATCCTGCGCGCATCCTTGCAATGCCAGGCACTGCTACAGGCGCACACTCACGATCCTAAGCACCCCCGTTGGTGCACCCCCGCAATGCCATGCATCCCCACACATGCACGCATGCGATGCCAGGCACACCCATAGGTGCGCCCTTGCAGTGCTGTGCACTCCCATAGATACACCCTTGCAATGCCATTCACCTCCACAGCTGCACCCTTTGCAATGACATACGCGTCCAGAGGTGCACCTTACAACGCCGGGCACTCCCGTAGGCGCACCCTTGAAATACCACCCTACAGATGCACACTTACAATGCCGTGAATCTTCATGGCTGCAACCTTGCAACGCCATGCAACCCCACCGCAGCACCCCAGCAGCACTGCGCACCCCCACAGCTCCACCTCTCCCTCCTCCCTCACATGCCCCCGGCACTGCGCATGCGCCCCATCACCCCCCTTGGAGCGGCGATAGGACCCCGCGGAGTCGCCCGGACTCCATGAATGGGGCCGTCGGAGTGGCGCGGGGGTATCACGTGACGGCGGGCGGCCAATCGCGGCGCAGCTGACGTAGCGCGTGGCTCCTTTTTCTGCCCTGGGATGTTTTTTTTGATTTTTTGCCCCAAAAACGGGGCTTTAAGGGGGCGACGAGAGGATGATATCGGGTCGGGGGTCGTGGCCCTCCGTGGGAGCGGCTCAGGTGAGTGAGGATGGGGCAACTTCGCCCTTTTTTTATGATTTTATTTTATTTTTTTAACCAAAAAGACCCAACGGGGGGGGGGAGGACACGTGAGCACGAGCTGTCCATCAAATCTGGTTCCGCCCGTCCGCCATAGAAGAAACCAATGGGGGGCGAAGACGGCGGGCAGACGACCAATGGGCGGCGCCGCTTTGTGCGCGGCGCTTTTGGGGCGAAAAGCGCCATGTTTGGGTGTTCGCGCGGGGGCGGTGGCGGGGAGGGCCCGCGGGGATCCAAAGTGCTGTGTCACGGGGCGGGGGGGGGGGCGGCCCCGCGGCGCCCCGGGGGGGGACCCCAAAGCCCTGTTGGGGTCCGGAATGGCTGCGGGGGGGTCTCTGCGAGCCTTTGGCGTGTGGGGCCGGAGGGGTTCGGGGTGGGGAGGAAACGGGGGGTCTGTGGGTCACGCGAGTTGGGGGGGGGGGTCCTGGGGCAGCCTGAGGTTGCGCGGGGGGTTGCATTGAGCACACTCAGATTTGTCTTGGGGCGTTGGGGTATCCGTGGGGTATCCCGGAGTGGGTTTGGGGGGGGGGGGCTGGGGGGTGGCACTGAGCAACCCCGGATTGGAGCGGGGGCTTTGGAGAGGCAGTGGGGCACCCCGGAATTGGCTGCGGGGTGGCACTGAGTTTCTCAGAATTGGCGTGGGGTGATCGTGAGGACCCCGAGGTCAGCGTGGGGCGGCTGTGGGGTGGCACTGAGCACCCTGAGATCGGCGTGGGGTGGCCTTGAGGACCCCAGGATTGCTGTGTGGGAGCTCTGAGCGCCTCGAAATTGCTGTGGGGTGGCACCGAGTCCCCAGGATTGCCACGGGGGGAGGCAGCGGAGACCTCCGTGCTCTGGGGTGGCCTTGAGAAACTAAAGATTACTACAGAGGGGCTCTGGAACGTCTCAGGATCGTTCTGGGGTGGTTCTGAGGGACCGTAGAACCGGTGTGTGTGTTGAGGGGGAGGGAAGGGTTGAGACCTCCAGCGTTGGTGTGGAGCGGCCTTGAGGGATCCAGAATTGGTTTGAGGGGGGAAGGCTTTGAGGGTCCCAGTTGTTGTGGGGTGGTATTGAGACCCCCCGAATTGCTGTCGGGTCGCTTTGGAGTAGCTGTGAGCCCCCCAGGATTGTCGTGGGGAGGAGGGGCACGGAGCACCTCAGAACAGCCATGGGGTGGCCCCGACCC